GGCAGGGAGCACAGCCTCGTGGTGCATTGGGGAGCACCTGGACTCAGGTGAGGCTCCAGGAGGCCTCTCTCATCCACAAGGGTACTCATGTATGGGGAAGTGCTGGCGACCTGGGGGCTCAGGTGTCACCGCTCACTCACGTGGCTTTTTGGTTTTTCCCGCCTTGGAGGAACAGGGTAGGAGGGACACAGGCCAGGCTCAGGTGAGCAGCAGACTCAGGTGCACTCAGGTCTCACATGGGGTGTGAGCGACTTCGCCCTGCAGAGGGTTTTGGTCCTCAGCCCAGGCCCGACTCTCCTGGTAGCAACAGAGGAAATGGAGCCAGGGCCCTGGGGCCCCGGCAGGCCGGGTGCACTTTGTCTCCAGGGGTCCCCATGGCAGGACTGGCATGGAGGTGTGCTTGGGGAGCACCACGTGGTGAGCATGACCCCCCCAGTCCAAGGGAGGGTGAGGAGGCCTTGCCAGACTCAGAGGCTACAGGATGGAGTCACTCCCAGCCCGACCTGATGGATGAGAGGGAAATCAACGTGGTGAGAGCTTCCGGGGCCCCAGTGCCTCTGCTCCCACCTGACCTGAGCCCTCCTCAGTCCTCTCTGGGGCCATGACTCCCTGCAGACGTGGGCCCTCACTCTGGGGAGTGCTGAGGTTGTTGCCGGCGACAGGCCGGTCTGGGCCAGCCCTTCCTTAGCCCTTGGACGGGCGTCTACCTACCCGTCCATGCGGCCACCGTGGCCCAGGATCCTGCCTGCCAAGCCCAGATCTGCCCTCAAGGACTTGTTCTGTTGGCAAGCAGGGGGCAGAGGAGGCCAGCAGTGCTCAGACGCATGACGTTTGGTGTGCAGAGTGCCAGGAAGACAGTGGGGCAGAGCAGGCATGGGGAGCACCAGGCTTCCCCTTTCTCTCAGGGTGCTGGGTGGGACAGAGTTTTCACAGAGCAGGGTAGGGATGGGCGAGGCCCGCTGGAGGAGGGGGAGGCCGGGGGGGGCTATGGGAGCACAGCCAGGGCCCCCTGTCCTGTGGGCTGAGCCCATGGCCCGTCCCAGCACCTTGACCCGGGGCTGAGGTCCTCCTGCCTGCCTCAGCCACCTCTTGTGTGCCACTCAGCTTCAGCCGATGCCCCCACTGCTCTGCTGCCACCTTTACTGCAAATCCTTGGTTACCGTGGAAGTATCCTTGGGGCAGGTAGAGGGCAGTGAGGGAGGGAAAAAATTCAAAAATCGTCCAGAGCCGTGCTCCCAAGGGATTTGCTTTCCACCCTAGCCAGTAGCAGCCTGGAGTTGGTGGTGATATTGGTGGGGGTGGGGGTGAGGTGGGGGTAGGGATGGGGGTGGGGTGAGGTGGGGGTAGGGGTGGGGGTGGGGGTAGGGCGGGGGTGGGGATGGGGCGGGGGTGGGGTGGTGACATCGGTGGAGGTGGGGGGCAGGGCTAGAGTTGGTGGTGACATCAGTGGGGATGGGGGCAGGGGCTGGCGCCTGCAAGGGCCTGGTTGTGCCCCCGCAACCCACCTGAAAGCCCCCTAGGACAACTCAGGCCAAGGAAGACCCGTGCCCCCAAAGCTGGTCTCACTGGACTTCGCATCTGGAGTTTGTTTTCTTTGAAGCAGCAATTTCAGGAGCAGCAGAGGCCACGGCTGGGGTGTGGAGTAAGAATCTAATTCAGCCTCGGCGATTGCTGGGTTCCCACAGCCAGAGCTCTCCAGCGGGCGCAGGTGGGAGGGAGGGGCTGCAAAAATTAATGAGTTGGACCCGATTAATCTTGCTGCATTAGCAAATCCAACGGAAAGCCTCGGGTTTGGACCAGTGTGTGAGCGTGCGCACTTGGCCACAGGGCTGTGTCGCCCGAGGCCTGAGCATCCAGCTGACCCAGCCTGGCCCCTGGCTCCGGGATAGACAGGCCCGCTGGCTCTGGCTGGGCTCTCTGGGAGAACTCACCTGCGGGAACCCACCAGGGCCAGCCACTGGCTGGAGAGCACTTGACCCCGTGGAAGCCTGGGCCTGCTTTGTTAGAAAAGCAAAGAGGTGACAGAAATGGCAGAGCTGGCTCTGCCTCAGAACCTCTGCCAGGCTCCTGCCGAGAGGCCCATGGTCTCTTTCCCTGCACCAACTCGGGGAAGTTCCAGCCTCTGCCCCAGACCAGGACACCAGGCTAAGCCCTGGCTGGGGTGAGGGACCCTGAGCCTCCACATCAGCCCTGGGCCAAGTGGCTTTGAGCTGACATTTCTCAGGGTACTTCGGGGCTGCCTGCTTCAGAGCTGCCCAGCAATGGCTGTTGGGAGCCACAGATTTGGGGGCCCCATCCCAGACTGAACAGTCTCTGAGGGTGGGGTTCCAGAATCCTGAGTTTAAACAACCCCCCCACCGCCAGTGCACGGCTGGGTGGACGTCCGTGGTCCTTGGGGCCACCCTTCCACATGCCTCCTCCTCTGGGGAGACTTCAGGGATTCACCCAGCTCACCACCTCCCCGCTCCTCTCTGACTCCAGATAACCTTTGGAGGAGGCTTCAATTTTCACAAGTCCAGGGAGCTCAAGCGCAGGAGCACGGGCGTCCTCTTCCCAAAGGAGTCTTTGGTTTGCCACGGGAAGGCGGGGCACAGCGCCCCTTGGTGTGGAACACATGAGGTGGGCATCACTTTACCAGCAGGAGATGAGCCCCGTTTCATCTGGCTGCCAGGTCGCAGAAACAATAACCCCGTTCCCAGGGACTCCAGCAGGGACCGCAATATGGCCGGCCTCTCCACTGACAAAAGAATGTGAAATTGCTCTGCCAAAGGCGTTTGCTCTGTGAGGCCAAAGGCAGGAACTTTTCACCAAGGTGGTGCCTGAACCAGAGGGCAGAGTGTGCTCCATCCCCTTTGGGAGCCGCCAGCCTGGCCACCTCTCCATCCCCTTCCTGAGCAGGGAGCCTCCTGGGCTGTGCCAAAGGGGGTGGGGTGGGATTCTGTGAGTGAGAGGTCAGCAGGCTGGCCTCTGGGGGGCCTCAGGGGGGCTTTGTTCTTCTCCCCTCCCTGTTTGCCAGCTGCTTGTTCAGCCCAAATTTCCATCCAGCTTGGAACCTTCTAGTTCCTGGCATAGAGCTGCCCATGGGGACGCTTAGTGTAGACCAGAAGAACCAGGGGCTTGGGGAGAGTAAGGAGAGGGGTCCTTCCTTGGGGGGCTTCAGTCTGCCTAGGGAAATAGGACCTTAGGAAACCACTGAGAGCTGGATCTGCAGGATGCTCTGAAGGAGAACCATCAGCGGGGCGGGTGGTGGAGACCCGTGGCTCCAGGAAAGACTGCAGGAAGGTGGGCTTGGGGTCTCCCAGGAGGCTTTCCCCGTAAGTAAAGGCAACTCAGCCCAAGACTGCATCTGAGGCCAGCGGGAGGCCAGGGTGCAGACCCTGCAGCCAGGTGCCTGGGCTGGAATCCCACTACTGACTGTGTGAGCTTCAGTCTCTCTGCACCTTTGTTATCTCTCTGGTAAAGTAAGGATAACTGAAGAGCCTGCCTCGAAGGGGCTGTGGACGTGCAGGAGGTCCCTGCATACAGCTTGCTTGGGCCAGCGCCTGGGAAGGACACAGAAGCAGGGCAGTGCGGTCAGGCTGGCCAGTGCGCAGAGGCTGTGGGTTCTGAAAGCGATAATTGTAGGCACCGCCCAGAGTGGACAGACAGCTCTGCCCGTCCCAGAGCAGGTGTGTGAGGTGCACGAGCTCAACCTGGAACCAGGAGTGTGGGAGAGGTGGGCAGGATCAGTGGCTGCTGGAAGAAGCTGGGGGAAGGAGGGGGAAGAAGGTAGGGGGTAGAGGCAGGGGAGATGGGAGGGGCGATGGGAGGGGCAGGAGCTGCGGCGGCCCCAGACCTGCGCTGGGGTGGGGGTTGCTCCAGGGGAACTCCTGACAGACAGCCCCCTCCCCCGACCAGCAGGCCTGCAGCCTTGGAGGGAGGGTCACGGGCCCCTCCAGCCCCTTCAGCTCTGCCTTCCGTTACCGACGGAAGTCTCTGTTTTTCGGGGGGTCCCAGCTGCAGAACCTGAGGCTGGGCCAGGGGCGCGGCTGCGGGGATGCGCGTCTGATGGTTCTGCAGAGCTGCGCCCTCTCCTCCTGCACCCAGATTCTGCCGCACAAGGCACCCCTCCTCCAAAGCACCTGCTGCTCTGTGGGCGGCCACCTCGGCACCCACTTGAGGGCGGGGCCCCTCCCTGGAGGCTGTGCGCTGCCTCTGGGGCGCCCCGTATTGTTTAAGGCCAGTCCAGGGGCGCCTGGCGTTGGCTCTCCAATCACCGGGCGGGAGACCCAGTTACTGCCCCGAACCCACTGCCCCCAGAGCGGAGGATGGGGGCGTGACCTCATGGCACACACGATCCACAGGACTCGCAAGCCGCACACGGGAGGGGAGGGGCGATGGACTCCGACCCCAGGCAGGACCTCGAGGCAGTGAGAGGTGGCCTCGCAGGGGGCGGGGTCTTCCTCCCCAGAAGGCGGGCGCAGGGCCTGGGCTTCCTCTGGACTCCTTGGGTCCCAGCGGAGGAACCGGGGCAGGCGGGGGCTGCGGGCGGATAAAGTGGGCGCCTTCCTGAGCGGGTCGCCGGGGAACAAGACCACAGACGCGATTTTCAGACTGCAGACAGCGGCCGGGGCGATGGAGTTGCCCAGATGCGTGAGGGGAGCCCCTCCTGGCGCTCGGATCGCCCCCGATGCGCGCCCCGCCTCGAGTCAGGCAGCGGCCGAGGTTGGAGATGTGGGGAGCGAGGCCAAGCCGGCCAGGACCCCCCAGGCGCACACAGCGACCACGGGGTTCCCATCCCCGGCTCAGGCACGTCCGTGGAGGACGAGGAAACTTTACCCCCGCCCGGGGCGAGCGCAGCCTCCCTGTCCCCCGGGAGCGCGGTCCGTCCCCGCTCAATCTCCGCTTCCCCGGCTCCCTCCTCCCCTCCCTCCTCCCCTTCCTCCACCCCCTCCTCCTCCATCCCCTGCTCCCCCTCCCAGCCGGCTGAGGCGGGCAGGGCCGGGCGGGGCCGCGCCACGGAGCCCACAGCCCTGCGCTCCCGGCCCCGCCGCCGCACCGCGCCCCGCGGGAGAAGCTAGCGAACCGGGCCCGGCGGCCGAAGCGGCCCGCGAGGCGCAGGGGGCATGAAGTTGGGCACCCGCGGGCCTCGGAGCCGGGGCGCGGGGGAGCCGGGAGCCGCCCGCATCTAGAGCCGCGAGGTGCGTGCGCCATGGAGCTCGGGGGCCCGGGGGCGCCGCGGCTGCTGCCGCCGCTGCTGCTCCTGGGGGCCGGCCTCCTGCGCGGTAAGTTTCGGGGCGCCGCTTGGGCCCCCTTTTGTCCGCGTTCGGGTGGCTCGGGGCTCCCGGAGCCGAGGGAAGGAGGCTCCTCACTGCGGTCCCCAGCGGCGGGTGCGCGCAGCGGGGCGGCCGCGAGGCTCCCCCATCCCCGGCGCACGGCCGACCTTCCCCGCGGGCTGGGCCGGGCGAGGAAGGGGTTAACTGCCCGCGAACGCCGAGGGCCGGGAAAGGGGGTTTCCGTGGGGGCGGGGCGGGGGATTCCACGGCCGTTTCGGCGTTGGACCCACAAGCTCCAACTTGAGCCGAGGTGGAGCCCCCTTCTCCCTTCCCCCATCCTCGGCTACATTTCCCCAAAGACGCCGGTGCCCGCCTCCTCCGGTTTAGGGGATCAGAGGGGCGGCCTCTCTCCTTGGCGGCCCCATCCACCTTTTCTGCAGGAAGAAGAGGTCGGGGGTGGGGACTCTGGGCTGGGAGTCAGGGGTCCCCGGGGGCGTAGAACTAACCCCTCCCAGGGTCCTGTCGTCATGGCCGAGCGGGACCCAGCAGGGAGGTGGAGGTCTCCCCCTCCGCCCCAGCCGCCCCGTGTGGCAGCGCTCAGGACAGGTGGGGAGTGCCTCAGACCTGCGGCGACCTGGGACAGAGATGGACCCTGGGGCTGTGCTCCTCCAGAGCCGCCCATCAAGGGCGTTCTGGGTCCGACCAAGAGCACAGGCAGGCTGGGGCACGGCGGGGGCTGCATCTGAACAACACTCCTCGGGCATCAGGGGATGGATGAACTACAGGAGGTGCCGCAGGAAGCAGAGCTTTTGGGGGCCGGATCCTCCTTCCCCTTCTTCCCTCTCCCTGCCTGTCTGGCCCCGATGCCCTGTGCCCGTTCCGCGCTGTCGTTACACCGCCCCCCGCAACCCCGCTGACTCCCAGGCTGCTAGAGGCGCAGCCCCTCCCTGGAAGTCGGTGTGGTAGGAACCCACACAGTGCTTGGCCCATCCACTGTCTGGTTTGATGGTGGGGGCAAGGTGCTGGGAAGGCCTCCGTGGGCTGAGGGGTCTGGGAGGCTTCCCCAAGAGAATCTCAGTGACAACCGGGGTGGGGGAGAGGCCAAGGGAGGGCAGCGCACGACACGCCAGGCACACGCACAGGTCCTGCGGTGGGAGGAGCTCATTTGAGGAGCTGAAAGGAAGCGGGCATGGCGAGCGTGCCTGGCAGGGGGCTGGGGCAGCCTGGACAGCTCCTGGACAGCTCCCGGCTCCTTCCGGCCTGCACCTGAGCCCTTGGCCGGCCTCTCCCCACAGCCAGCGGCCACGTGGAGACCCGGGCCCATGCGGAGGAGCGGCTCCTGAAGAAACTCTTCTCTGGTTATAACAAGTGGTCCCGGCCCGTGGCCAACATCTCCGATGTGGTCCTCGTCCGCTTCGGCCTGTCCATCGCTCAGCTCATCGACGTGGTAGGTGTGGGCGCAGCCATCGCACGCTGGGACTGAGGTCGCCCTGCAGAGAGCACCGTGGTCTGGGTGGGCAGAGGGGACACGGCCATCAACACTTCCCATGGTTGTGAGTGTCCCGCCTGGCCTGGTGCACCAGAATGGCAGCCGCCAGCTCCCCCCCAACTCCACCAGAGCCCCAGCCAAGGGTTGGTTCTGAGCATCCCAGCCAGGCCCTGCCCTTTCCTCCTCCTTGGCAGAAGCACTCCACATGGCCAGGTTCTCAGTACAGGGCCTAGGCACCTTCCGAAGCAAAGAACAGCGAAGGCCTCACTTGCCAGGTCTCCAAGCTTGGGTCTGCTGCCGAGGGAGGAGCCGCTGGGTTTCGGGAGAATTTCCTCTTTGGGTGCCGTGCGTGTTGGGTAACCTGGGGCCTGTGGCCCTGTGAAATGAGGTGAGAGCTGCTTCACTATCCCAGGCTGACTGGGCCACACCAGGGCCTTTGGGAGGTGTGGGGGGCTGCGGCCACATTCCTGCGGACAGGCTGCTCAGTGGTGGCACCTGCTTGCGCAGGGCCTCGAGTGGAGACTTCGGTCAGCCAGCCCCGTCCAGGGTGGGCCACCCAGACCCCCACCCTCAGTGTCCTGGAACTGCCCCTGAGTGGCTCCTGTGGAGTGTCCCTGGCAGAGGCCCAGGCAGAAGACAATGCGGGCTGCACAGGCTTGGCAAGCCTGCTGAGGTTTGCAAACACGGCTGCAAAGTGGTGGCTGGCAGAGGCGGCAGCTGGCAGCTGCCCAGAACTGTGGGCCTGCCACCCCACACCTGGCTGCCTACCTGAGCTCAGGGCTTAGTCCATGGCTCCCTAACCACCGCAGAGCCCCCAGTTTGCCCAGGAGACATTGAGGTCCGGAGCATACCCAGCACCAAGGCTCCCACAGCTTCCTGCCTCCCTCGCCACCCTGCAGCTGGCTAAGGACATACACCAACACACACAGCTCCTAGGTGCTGGCCCGAGGCCGAGGGCCACTTGTGTGCAGAAGGGGCTGCCTCGTGCCTCGCCCACTGCCCATCCCGCCAGGGCCTGGGGCTCGCTTGTGCCCCTTTGCAGGCTCCTATCCGTATTGTGGATGCCATCACCGGGGTCCGTCCCAGAGCGGAGGGCTTGTGAGCTGCATGTGTGGGCTCAGGCCTCAGGACTGGCTGCAGGGAAGGGTCTGGAAGCCACGTCGCTTCCCACCAGCCTAGGCCGAGGCTGAGCGGTGGTGACGCATATGGTGCTGACCTGTCCTCCAGCTTCAAGGGCACCAAGAGTGACGGCTGCAAGGGGGCAGGGCACTGGGCAGGCAGCCAGGGCTGGCCCCAGGAAGCAGGTTCTGAGGACCCTGGAGCTTCCGGGTCCACACAGCATGTGGTCCTGAGGGAACGTGGTCCTGAGATGAGGTCCTGAGGGGAGATGTGGTACTGAGGAGACGTGGTCTATGCAAACATGGTCTTGAGGGGGCGTGGCCCTGAGGGATGTGGCCCTGTGGGGACGTGGTCCTGAGGGGATTGTGGCCCTGTGGAGACGTAGTCCTGTGGGGACATGGTCCTGTGGGGATGTGGTCTGTGGGAACCTGGTCTTGAGGGGATTGTGGCCCTGTGTGATGTGGTCCTGTGAAGACGTGGTCCTGTGAAGACATGGTCCTGAGGGAATGTGGTCTGTGGGGACATGGTCCTGAGGGAACGTGGTCTGTGGGGATGTGGTCCTGTGGGATGTGGTCCCATGAGGACGTGGCCCTGTGCCCTACGGGGACACGGTACTGAGGGGATGTGGTCCTGCGGGGATGTGGAAGGAGGCGGGTGGGGTGGGCTGGAAGGGGATGGGGCAAGTGGCCCAGCTGCACACAGTGACCTTGAGTGACCCCAGCTGTGGTCCCACCAGCACAGGTCATGAGGCACAGTCATGGAGGGGCCACCCTGGACAGCAGTGGGACCCACGGATGTGCCGGGGCAGCTTTGCTGGCTGTGCGTGCCCATGTGGGGGGCCTTGCTGCAGAGGGGCTGCCCTGAGGGCTGGGAGGGAGCTAGGCAGGTAGGCAGAAGGAGGCTCCCTGTGCCCGCCACACCTGTCGTAGCTAGGAAGCCTATGAGGCCGCCGACCTCCTCCCAGTTTTCTGCTGGAGATGTTCACAGCCTTGTCCCCACAGCCCTAGGTCCCCTCAGGGTCCCATCCTGGGCTTGGTGCATCCTTGCAGGGCACTCACCCCTCCAGAGGTCGCCTGTCCCCCATCCTCGCCCTCACCCTGACCCTGTCCTTGTGCCGGTGCCTGTGGATGAGGAAACCCAGGGCTAGAGAAGGACACCCCAGGGTGTCCCAGCGCTGAGGGGTCAGTGGCCTCCTTCCTCTGTCTACTCTAGGACGAGAAGAACCAGATGATGACCACGAACGTGTGGGTGAAGCAGGTGAGTGGGAGGGTGCTGCCCCATCCTGGCCCTGCCCCACACCCCTGCCCCCTCCCCCTGCCCCATGACCCTCCCTCTGCCCCATGACCCTCCCTCTCCCCCATGACCCTCCCTCTGCCCCATGACCCTCCCTCTCCCCCATGACCCTCCCTCTCCCCCATGACCCTCGCCCTCCCATACCCCTCCCCTCCCCCACACTTTCCCCTCCCCCACACCCCTCCCCTCCCCTGCACCCCTTCCCCTGCTGTCTGCTCCAGCCCTGCCCTCATCATGCTGCCCCACCCTGGCCCTACCCCGCCCCCACCCTCCCCCACGACCCTCACCCTGCGGCCTCCCCGTCCGCTCCAGGAGTGGCATGACTACAAGCTGCGCTGGGATCCAGCTGACTACGAGAACGTCACGTCCATCCGCATCCCCTCTGAGCTCATCTGGAGGCCGGACATCGTCCTCTACAACAAGTGAGTCCCCTTTGGGGCCTCGGTGTCAGGGGTGGCTGGGGCCTGCTCCACCAAGGCCCGTCCTGGCCCTTTGCAGCCTGTGCCACCCTCATCCATGCCAGCCCAGGTGGGCCCAGAAAAGAAGAAGCAGGAGCAATGAAAAAGTTGGGGGGTTGAGGAGGGAAGGGTCCCCCAGGCCAGCAGAGGCGGAGGGCATCGCCAGGTCTCAGCACCGGACCTTCAGAGCCTGAGGGTCTGAGTGTGGCTGTGGCACCCATGCACGACGTCCCTGCCGGCCCAGTCCTGAGGCCTGGGGCTGCCTCCTGACCCTGCTGTCTTTGCCGGAACCCTTGATGGCTGCAGGAGAACCCTTTGGGCCGGAGTGCTTTTCACAATCAGACCCCATCCCTGGCTTTCTGGGAGAACAGTGTGGGTCGCAGGGTGCCCTGGAGAGGAGCGAGGAAGCCCCGACGGCTCCCATATCAGCAGGACCGCTGCTTCCTCTGCATGCTCCAGCCCTGCCCAAGACAGACGGCACGCCAGGTCCCCAGCAAACAAAGCCTCGGGCTGGGCCAAGCCCGTGTCTGGCTCCTGGGACCCCAAGCTTACGTCTGGTCACGGAAATGGATTTTCTGTGCCTGGAAGCCAGGGCAGCATTGCCAGGGATTGGCCGTGGCAGACGCTGGCCTCCAGAGGCTGCTGTCCTCCGGCCTGTCCTTCCCGAGGACCCGTGCCAAGGGCCTTGCGCCCGGTAGTCGGCGCTCTCTGAGCTGAGTCCTGCGGGGACGGTCTCTGGTCACAGACTTGGGGTCTGGGTGTGGCGGGGCCATGGCTCCCACAGACAAAGCAAATGGAAGCTCTTCCTCCTCTCCCATCGCAGCCATCTGCCCACAGCCCCTTCCAGGCCCTAGGGCACCCGCCTGACCTATAAACGCTGCTGTGTGATTAAGAACCACTGGGCTCCTTTTCCAACTCAATTGATCCCAGTAATGGCCGTGGGAACGGCCGCCACATGTGGAAGTAGCTCTGGCGCTTTTCCCGGGCGCAGTGCAGGGGAGGTCAGGGGTGAGTGGGCGGCGGCCTTCCCTTAGGACAGGCTCCCTGCCCCTGCAGGCCACCCAGCGACCCGGCTCCCGCCACACCAGGCCCTAGCACCGAATCTACCTCTGACTCACAAGGACGTATTTCAGGGAGAAGTGGAAACGCCCCAGAAAGGGTTGGGCCAGGCAGAGAAGCAGCTCTGGGGGCCTGTATGCGGCACCCCAGGAATGCAGCCTCTCAGGACCACAGCCCCCACTGTGACCTCAAACCCCCAGGACCATAGACCCCCAGGACCACAGCTCCTCTGGAATGCAGCTTCTTAGGACCACAGCCCCCCAAAGACTGCAGCCCCCACCAGGTTCACAGCTCCCCGAGGACCACTTCCTCCAGGACCACAGCCCCTTAGGACTATAGCCCTCCAGGACCACATTCCCCGCCAGGACCACATTCCCCGCCAGGACCACAGCCCCTCAGGACCATAGCCCCAAGGATCACAGCTCAGGAGAGCGGAGGCTGCTGCTACCCCACGTCCTCCTGTGCCTCCTCCCCACCATGGGCTGCAGGAGGTAGTGAAGTGACCCCAGCTTCTCTTTGGGGCTGTGGGGGGGTCGTCACTGAGGCTCCCTCTGGACAGGACCTGGGGTTGTTTCTGGGGCAGCAGATGGCGGAGGCTGGTGGCTGGCCAGGCTGCAGGGCAGGAGGCCTCGGCCCTTCTCTGGGCTTTGGCCACCCCCAGCTGGGGCCCTGCTGTCCACTTGGGGCTTCTCTAAGATTGGTCTTTTGGGGCAGGAGCCCAGAACTCTGTGACCTGGACTGGGGTGGTGGTGGGGAGGACAGCAGGTCTTAGCCACCCTGTGTGCCCTGGAGCGGGAACCTGGACCTGCCGGGCTGGGCGGCTCCTCAGACCCTGCCTGGGCACAGGCGGTGAGTCCAGGACCGGCTCATGGGCGGGGGCTCATCCTCCCGTTTCCTGTGGTGCCGGCAGAGGACCCTGGAGGAGGGGGCCCTGCCCAGAGCGGTGCAAGCAGAGGACTGGGTGGCCTGCCCTGTTCCCAAGCTCGGCCCTGACGTCCCCTGCTGGGTGTGTGCCGAATGGAATTGTCCCCGTTTGCCATGTGAGAAGGTTTGAATTTGTGCCCCAGAAGGTGGGGGCGTTGGTTGTTGGAGAGACGGCTGGGGAGAAGGAGGAAACATGAGCCTGACTCCACCCAGACTGGAATAGGTAGCAAGGCACTGCCCCAGCCGGAGGGACTCCGGGCTCAGACCAGGCTGTGGGGCACCGAGATGCGGGCAGTGGCTCTTGTGGTCACCCTCCCTCCTCAGTGTGGCCGAGCTGCGACCAGATCAGGGGCAGAGGCTTGGCACCGAGACCGTGGGGGCCAGGTCTCCTCTGTGACCTGGAGGGCAGAGCTCCAGCAGCGGCAGCTCCTCTGATGGAGGGTCCCTGGTGGTTGGGAAAGGGTGGAGGTGCAGGCCCAGCCCCAGGACTCATGTGCAGGCAGAGGGAGCTCAGGGAGCAGTGGCCAGCTTTGCCCAAGCACCTGGGGAGGCCCTGGTCTTTGCAAGCTCTCAGGAAATGGGGCAGAGGAAGGATGGGCAGGGGTCCAGGCGCTCAGCAGAGGTGGAGCAGAAGGTGTCTGGCTGGGTGGCCGCTCCCCGGGACACACCCTGCCCTGCTGCCCTCCGTAGGGCTGAGCTGGGGATGGAGAAACTAACGGGGCCTCATCGGCGGGGCCTTCTGTGGGGCGGAGGTGTCGGGTGCTGCCTCTGAAGGCTGGCTACCTCAGCCCTGAATGCACTCCAGCAGCACGCCCCACCCAGCCAGGCTGTCTGTGAAACCGGGGCTGGGGCTGGGAGCTCTGCCTATCAGGAAAGGAGTGGCAGGTGCACCAGTCCCTGGCTCTGTGGCTCCGTCGTCCACCTGTGCCTATGGACAGGACACCCATGTCCCCCAAGACAAAAGAGAGTCTGGAGCCAGTGGCTGAGACATGGCCCTGTAGCTGGGTGGTGCGCATGCAGCCCCTCGGCAGCACCCCCGCGGCCCCGGTGTCTTCATGCTCACACATGGGAGGTGGCCTCCAAGTCCTTGGGTTAACGGCAGAAGCTGGGTGAGGAATTCCCATGGTGGTCCGTGGTACTGCTTGGAGGGGCAGGGGTGTGGAGATGCCATGTGTCCCAGGGGAGGTGCTGGGAGACTAGCCCCATCCCTGCTCCGCTGGCGGAGAAGAATCAGCAGCAACGGTGATGCTCTGCCATGTGTCAGGCGCTCGTAGGCCCCTTCCTGTTGTTCAAACCCCGTGCTGCCCCCAGCTCAGGGATGCCAAGCCAAGGCGCGTGAGTGAGAGACGGGCAGTGTACCCGGGCAAGGCTGCCAGCCTTTCTCTGCCTCTGTGACGCGAGAACGCCTCTGTGTGCCGGCGCGGGGTCCCAGCACGGAGGCGGCGTGGGTGTGGACGTGGTCTCACCCCTTCGCTGTCTCCCTGCCCAGTGCCGACGGGGACTTTGCCGTGACCCACCTGACCAAGGCCCACCTGTTCCACGACGGGCGCGTGCAGTGGACGCCGCCGGCCATCTACAAGAGCTCCTGCAGCATCGACGTCACCTTCTTCCCCTTCGACCAGCAGAACTGCACCATGAAGTTCGGCTCCTGGACCTATGACAAGGCCAAGATCGACCTGGTGAGCATGCACAGCCGCGTGGACCAGCTGGACTTCTGGGAGAGCGGCGAGTGGGTGATCGTGGACGCCGTGGGCACCTACAACACCAGGAAGTACGAGTGCTGCGCCGAGGTCTACCCCGACATCACCTACGCCTTCATCATCCGGCGGCTGCCGCTCTTCTACACCGTGAACCTCATCATCCCCTGCCTGCTCATCTCCTGCCTCACCGTGCTGGTGTTCTACCTGCCCTCCGAGTGTGGCGAGAAGGTCACGCTGTGCATCTCCGTGCTGCTGTCGCTCACCGTCTTCCTGCTGCTCATCACCGAGATCATCCCGTCCACGTCGCTGGTCATCCCGCTCATCGGCGAGTACCTGCTGTTCACCATGATCTTCGTCACCCTGTCCATCGTCATCACCGTCTTCGTGCTCAACGTGCACCACCGCTCGCCGCGCACGCACACCATGCCCGCCTGGGTGCGCAGGGTCTTCCTGGACATCGTGCCGCGCCTGCTGCTCATGAAGCGGCCGTCCGTGGTCAAGGACAACTGCCGGCGGCTCATCGAATCCATGCACAAGATGGCCAGTGCCCCGCGATCCTGGCCCGAGCCCGAGGGGGAGCCCCCCGTCATGAGCGGCACCCGTAGCCGGCACCCACCCTCGCCGCCCTTCTGCGCGCCCCTGGACGCGCCGGCTGATCCCGGGAGTGCCTGCAAGTCGCCCTCCGACCCCCTCCCCACTCTGCAGCCCCCGGAGGCCGAGAAGGCCGGCCCCCACCCCTCGCCAGGACCCTGCCACTCACCCCACAGCACCCAGGCCCCAGGGCTGGCCAAAGCCAGGTCCCTCAGCGTCCAGCACGTGTCAAGCGCCGGCGAGGCGGCGGAGGGTGTCCTGCGGTGCCGGTCTCGGAGCATCCAGTACTGCGCTCCGCGAGACGATGCCGCCCCCGAGGCAGATGGCCAGGCTCTTGGTGCCCTGGCCTCTCCCAAGGCCCACCCGGCGGAGCTCCCACCTCCAGACCAGGCCTCTCCGTGCAAATGCACGTGCAGGAAGGAGCCACCTTCCACGTCCCCGAGCGCCACGCTCAAGGCCCGCAGCACCAAAGCGCTGCCCCGGCATCTGCCCCTGTCGCCAGCCCTGACCCGGGCAGTAGAGGGCGTCCAGTACATCGCAGACCACCTGAAGGCCGAAGACACAGACTTCTCGGTGAGTCCCGCCTGTGGCTGTGCTGGGCGCCTCTGGCCCTGATGCCCTCTGCTCCCGGTGAATAATCAGGAGCTGGGCCCAGGCCTCAGGCCACTCCGCCTTGGGGTGTATGGTGTGGCCCCGAAGCAGCAGCCTCTTCTCAAGTCTGCTGCATGGCCGCGGGTCCCAGGCTTAGCGGGGCAGGTGGCCCCGAGTGGCTGCAGAGGGTGGATCCCGGGGCCCCCGCCGGCTTTGGGACACAGAGGCCTCGGCAGGCGGCAGGGCGAGGGGCTGCAGGCACCGTCCTTCCAGCAAGGCACAGGGGCACACTGGGAACTCCTGCCCAGCGATACCCGCGTCCCCAGAATGCAGTGAGGTGCTGCCAAGGCACTTTCCCCAGGGCGCACCTGTGCCTGCCCCGTGGACCTCCCTGGGTCCCCTCTGTACCTGGGATCTGGACACAGGGGGCTCAGAGAAGATGGGATGGGATGGCTGGGGGCCGGAGAGAAGGATTCTGCTTGGGACACAGCCCCAAGCCCATCAGCCCCAAGAGGCCAAGCTGGGGACGGGCAGGGGAGCCATGGGCTGGGGGCAGAGCACTGGCTGCTGCTAAGACCCCCCGGGTCCTGGGCCGGCCCAGCTGCCCTCATGAACCAGGGAGTGCCCACACAGGGGCTTCAGGAGCCGAGGTTTCTGCTAAGTGGCAGCTGCGTCCGTGTTGCCTGTGGCTCCACACCCTCCAACCCAATCCACGCAGGAGAGGCTGGGCCGAGCCAGCTTTGCCTGACCCCAGCAGCAGACGGCCTCCCTGCTCCCTTTTGCAGACATTTGCTGCCTGCCATGCGGGGGGAGGCTTGGGGGCCAGGGTCCTCAGACGGGACAGTGGGTGACGCACGGAGGCAGCCGGGGGTCTCAGCCGCCCAGCCCATGATGGTCACAGCGGCCACTCCGTGTCTGTCCTGCCCGTCCACCTGCCCTCACTGGCATCTCCCGGCTGTCGTCCTGGTGGCAGGCCTGGCATCCTCAGTGGCTGCCTCCATCTGAAGGGGCCACCTCCGCCAGGGCCCTGGGGTGCCGTCCGCAATGTGCTAGTCGGATGTGTCTGGTGCCTGCCCCCCACAGCCGAGCAAGCCCCAAAGTTAGGAGCGTGCCCCACACCCCTGAGAAGTGAGGGAGTCTCTCGCCCCACACAGCCACCTCACTGAGTCCCAAGAAGCTGAGAAGCCACCTGCAGGTTCCAGAACGTTCTGTGGTCGTGAGAGCAGCCTGGAGAAGCCTGGGGACTGTGCTTTGCTCCTAGCTCTTGAGGCGAGAGGCAGCTGCTCCTGGCCATGCCGCCGTGGAGTCTGATGCTTTTACACTGTTGATCAAAGCCACCCCGAAGCCGGCAGTAGGTCTGAGCCTGGCGGTCAGCAGGGCCTGGGCCCCTCCAGCTGCCTTCTGGGGCCGATAGCTGCCGCTGCCTGACCTGGTTCTGGGCTTCTGGGGAAGCAGAGCTGACTTCACAGGAGCCGGCCTCAGGGACAGAGGGAAGGCTTTGGTCTGCGGCTCCGTTTCATCCTCAGGCGGATGGAAGGTGGCGGGCAGAGCAAGGGAACTAAAGGCGGATGGGAAGGAGCGGGCGGGCGGCTGCGTCCCAACTCCCCAGAGCCGAAGCCTGGGGCAGGGTTTTATTTATAAGTGACCCCATTTGCCTTAAGGCTTCCCGTAAATAAATACGGCCATTTTGGTTCAGTTTATATGATCAGGACACCCGGGGTTGCTGTGAAAAATCAGAGCAGACACCCCCAAAGCAGGAGGCGGCACTATCCCCACAGAGGCCAGGCGCTCATGGGCACTCCCCCTCCCACATCTCATCATCCACAGGCCTGGGACCCACGACACCCTCGTGGCCTGGCCCAGAGGCAGCTTGTCAGCCAGGGGTCGGCTCAGGTCCTTCCACACAGCAGAGCCGGGGGCGTGGGATGGGGGAGCCTGGGGCACGGGACGGGGTACCAGGGACAGGGCAGTGGCCGGTGGCTTGAATGCCTTGGGCTGCCCACAGCAGCTGCCTCAAGAGTGGCTTCCTGACTCCAGGCCTGACCAGGCCACGGCCTCTGCCTTCCCGAGGCCTCTGCCCCCCCGAGGCCTCTGCCCCTGGGGGTCACTCAGGGTGGGGCCCCCTTGCATCAACCCCAAGACTGTGGGTTAGATGCGGGCCTGGAGCGGGGCGGCCTGTGCCAGGACTTGCTGTCCCTCTTCAGCTGTGTGACCACAGCCAGCCCTGACCGCTGTGCGCCTCAGTATGAAAACCGGACAGGCCAGGAAGGCTGGCGTGAGAGGCCACAGATGGCGGCGGCTCTGCAGGCTCCGTGTGCTGCCCCCGTCCACCCTCTGGCCCCGGGTCTCCCCACCGCTGTGGAGCCATCAGCTGCAAAGCAGCCCCGCCTGGGCCTCTGTGTGCATGGTCAGGCCCAATTATCCCGGTACCCGCAGGCTCCTGGTCTCACCTGCTCAGCCAGGCTGTGCCCCCACCAGGCCCCATTTCCCATCTGCAAAACGGAGAGGGGACTGGGCCTCCGTGGTGCCCCTCCCAGCGCTGGTGAGCTGAGAGCAGACTCCTCACAGGGTGTCTGAGCCCCCTTCCCACGTGTCCCGCCCAGCCAGGCCACCTGCCGAGAGGTGGGAGCACGCAGGGCACGGTGGGGAGCCATCTCCATCTCTGCACAGGGGTCTCCCCAGCCAGAGTTCCCAGGGTTCCTAGGTCCTCCTGCCCCACCCTGCGCTGCAGTGATGCTGCCCCGCAGAGCACTGGCTGGCTCTTCATGCACCCCGATTCCCCCGTGGTGCAGGTGTGTGCGGGATGCCCGGGCAGCCTCTCCATGCACCCCGATTCCCCCGTGGTGCAGGTGTGTGCGGGGTGCCCGGGCAGCCTCTCCACGCACCCCGATTCCCCTGTGGTGCAGGTGTGTGCGGGGTGCCCGGGCAGCCTTGGCTGCCTTGGGTGGAAGGTGGGAGGGAACGAGCTGCTGCCGGTGGTGCCGGGGTCCTGAGCTGCCCCGTGGCAGCCGGGCCTGCCGCAGTGACTGGTCTGTGCTTGCAGGTGAAGGAGGACTGGAAGTACGTGGCCATGGTGATCGACCGCATCTTCCTTTGGATGTTCATCATCGTCTGCCTGCTGGGGACCGTGGGCCTCTTCCTGCCACCCTGGCTGGCCGGCATGATCTAGGGCAGGTGGGGGCCTGTGTGGCCTGGGCCTGTGGCACGGGGTCGGCGGCCGTGTGGCTGGCCCAGGGCTGTGCTGGCTCCTCCCGGGACTCTGCGGGGCCATACGTTCGTCCCTCCTGTGGTGTCTGCTGTTAAGACGGCCGTGGACAGAGATGCAGCCTCTGGGGAGATGGAGTGTGGAGCTGCTTCCGGTCGGGCTGTGGCCCCAGGAGGCAGCAGCCTGAAGTGGTGGCGGGGTCAGCACCTCCTCCCTGCAGGACTCGGCCCAAGTCCAGTTCAAGAGTCTCCTGAGCTTCCCTGCAGATGGAACTCACTACCCCCGGTCTCTCAGGAGACCCAGCCACGGACCTGACTGCCCCAAGGAACCCTCTTCAGCCCGGTCTTCTGGAGGCCTGACGGCGTCTCTCGCCCGCCACGTCCTGCGCCTGTGTGACCTCAGCCTCTGCCCCAGGGCCCTTGGGCCTCTCTGGTCCCATAAGGGTGAGCCACTGGCGCTCCAGTCTTCTTTGCTAGGAGTGGGTCCAGGCAGGGATTGTGTTCTGCTGTGTTTTGGGTAAGTTACCAAGAACCCGAGTGTTGTGCCCAAGGAGCCTTGGAGAACAGAGTTTTGTGGAGCTGGTCCCGCTGCGGGGAGCTGGACGGCAGGGTTCTGAGGAGACAGGAACACCCAACCCCAGAGAGCCCTGAGACCCGGGCTCTGCCTTCCAGCGTGGGGCCAGGCTCGGTGACAGGTGTCCTGGGCTCCATGGGATCTCGTGGCTCCCATCCCTGTGGAAACTTGTGTGCTCTGATTTCCCTGGGCTGAAAGGGTCCCCAGTGGAGCCCAGACCCAGGCTCTGGTTCCCTGGGGACCCCGAGGGTTTCCGCCTGGGTCCACAGCCAGGAAGATCCACCCTGGGCTCCAGGTTTGGGAAGGACTCCCTGTCACAGTAGCTGTGAGGAGCTGGTGGGGGCATCCCTGAGGACCTTCACCCGGCGGGTGCCAGGACCTGTGGAGCAGGAAGCCCCTGAGAACCCTTGTGGGGCTTCCAGACAGGCCTGTCCCCTCTGTCCTGGCAGGGCGGGCAGAGCTAAGGCCATGCCCACAGATGGGGGAGGCCTGAGGTGCTTCCGGCCATGACCCTGGAGCCCTGCAGTGCACCCCCTAGGGATGGCACACTGGCAGCCCCGTGTCCCCAGGTGCCCTGGGAAAATGTACTTCCCCTGAGGGTGGGCACAGGTTGCCCCACCCCACCGTGATCCCAAGGACTCAGAGGGGTGGGGCCAGGACAGCGTGTCCCCTGCCCAAGAGTGGCACTGGTTTGGGAGGAGGGCAGTCAGAGGAAGCCTCCCGCTGAGTGGTCCAGATTCCGCCGCCCCAGACCCCATCCAGCCCTGGTGGGGCTGCAGTCGGGGCCTTCGTCCTGCCGCGTCTCCTCCCTCTGTCCCCGAGCCGAGCTCTCCTGGGGCAGGGCCTTGTCAGGAGGTGCCTAAGAACAGAATAAATAATTCAGTGAGGCTTGGAGCTCGGCATGCTGAGTGCCCAGGAAATGCCGCCACATCCCCAAGGGCAGTGACGTGAATGGGGAGGAGACTGGGGCCCATATGCCCACATCTGCCTCTGCACTGCAGCTGGTCATCCCCACCCCCAGGCGCCTGTGACCGGGCTGCTGAGTCTGGGGCTCTTGTGCCAGGAGTGGGATGCAGAGATCCTCATGCTGAGTCCTGGGCATCCTCAGCCCCCCGGCCCTTCCTGGGTCCCCTGGGCATTCAGGGCCCCCATCTGCCAGGCTCTGACTTCCCCCTACTCCACCATTAGGCCCTGCTGCCCCTCGGCCAGAGCTCCTAGGGTGCAGGGAGACCCCAGGCGAGGGAGGTCATCCAGGGGCCTTGGAAGCTGGCAGGAGACACAGGTCTCCGAGGAGGGAGGGGATGCAGATTCGGATGTAAGATGCCCAATCCGAGTTGCATAAGCAGATCCAGCTGCCAGATGTGTGGGCAGCTGTGGGGAGTGGCCCTGGGGTGCTGGGCCCAGCTGCGGATGTTCTTTTCTGGGTCAGGGTGACTTTGGAGTGGCTGTGACGCTCCTGCCGGGGGCCCTCCTGCTGGGGGCGGCACTTGCCTGGGGGAAGACCCCTTTCACTTTATTCTTCTTTTCTGAGGCTCAAAAAAAAAAGAAAAGAAATCCAAATAAAGCACCATGTTCCCACCACGGCAAATCAACCTCAACAACAATGTTGCTGTATTTGCTTCCAGTGGTGTTTTTTTAAATTAAGGTAAAATTTACGTATGGCGAGATGCATGCTCTTCCGCAGAGACCCCAGCCCTTCCTGTCGGCGTCCCCTCCCCATCTGTGGCTCTGACTTAAGCATGGCGGATGGGCCTCTCCGGCTCCCGACCGTCACGGAGATGGAACCCTGCTTCCGAGCGTTTGACGTCCTGCTTCTTCGTCGTGTGACTTGGTGTCGTGTGTGTCGTAGCTCATTGCTCTTTGTTCCTTTGTTCTTCTGTCTGAATAAACTGAGGCAGTGTGTCCAGCACCTGTTAGTGTTAGTGGACTCTGTTCCCAGCTGTCGGATGAGGAGCGGAGGTGCCCGTGTGTGCCCAGGTGCAGATCTGTGTGGGTGGTTGGTCCCTCGCTCTGTCTGTTATGTATGTGTCTTTATTTTCTGCATATGTTAATGTTTTGACATCTTTCAGACCCAAGACTGCTCCTCCTAGGGCCAGTGAGCTCCCAGCGGTGGAAAGCTTGCCTGGAGCACACCTTTGCCAGGGCTGTGTCCCCCGACCCCCATCAAAGTCTCCCGCTAAGCCATTGTTTCCCTGCCCTACGCAAGCCAGGACCAGGCAGAGGAATGCAATACTGGAGCTCAAAGCCTGGGGGCTGTTCACGCGCCTGCCCTGTCTGTCCCAGGGGAAGCCCCAACAAAGGCCCTGGGCCACCGCTCCCCAGCCCCTCCTCCCTCCCGACCCGCCTGGTGCTTTCCAGGTGGGCCTGCCGGGCATGACGTGACCCCTCCTCTTGGGAGGCACGATAATCTCTCAAGGGCATCGGCCTCAGGTTTTCACTCCATCTCCCGTATACGTTGGGGCCGGGCCCAGGACACTCAAGGGCTGCTGGTTAGCAGGTACCTCTGGGGCAGAGGCGGCTCCAGGCTTCTAACGTGACTGTGCCCTTCCACCTTTGCCCCAGAAACGCTGGGTCAGGCAGCACACACAGCACCTGAGGACGCCAGCCCAGCCGGCCCCGCCGCCGACCGGGTGGCCGCAGAGCCCAGACGCTGGCCCGGGCATTGGCAGGAAGTGCCTGGAACGCTCACAGTGTGTGCACAGACCTGGATGAAGAAAGTGCCGCTTCAGATGTGTGCTGTGCTCTGCGTCTGTGTTCAGTCTCTTCCACTCAATCTGCAGGGAACGCTGCGTGCAGACCACACATCTGACAGTCGCATTGTTGGGGCTTTGCAGTGGGCTTGAGGCAATAATGCCAACACTTTCCACGTGACTGTGCCGTTGACCCGCCCACCGCCTGCAGACCGGCGCTCCCGCCGCGCTAATCCTGGCTGACATTTCCCGGCATTTGCCTGCCTCGCGGGGTAATGTACACAGCGTGTGTAAGAATCCTCCGAGGCATGACAAGGCATTTTCTTTCACAGACGGCATATGTGTGTACAGCCAGCACCGGGAATCCCTGCCCAGCCCGCCAGCCACAGCCCGCCCAGGTCACCCACCACCCCCGCCTGGCGCTGCCGGGCCCTGTGTTCTGTGCGTGGTGGACGCGTCCGTCGGCCCCGGAGCCCGGGTTGTCGCTTGCTGTGCGGCCGCTGCACTGCGGGCTCCCCAGCCTGGCTTACCTGTCACCAGCTCGGGGCAGCTGGGAACAGACTTGGCGCGCGCCTGTGCGTCTCCCCCGGAGGCCGACCCGGGAGGTCCTGCTCAGCCGTGGGAAAGGCGGGCGCAAGGTCAGCTCATGAGCTGCTGGTAAAGGCTTTGCCAAGGCGGCCGCATGGACCTTACCTCTGCCCAGGTTTCCAGTTCTCCCACCGTGCCAAGGGCTCTGAAATTTTTCCAGTCTGCTGGGAATACAGTTCTCTCTCACCGGGTTTTAAGGTGCATTTCTCTAACTACCAGGTAGAGCTGGGGCATCGAATCGGGAGTTTATCGGCCGTTCAAGTTTCTTCTGTGGAGTGTCTGTTGCCTTCTGTCAGGGGTTTGAATCTCTATTTTTTGTTTCTGATGTAATTCCACTGTAGTCGGGAAGCTTTCCACGGAATTTCAGTGCTTGTTACCGGCCCGGCTTCTGGTCTGTCCTCATCAGTGCTCCACGTGGCCTTGAGAAGATGCGTCTTCTGCTCGGTTTCAGGGAACGTTCTAGAAATGCCAGCCAGGTCCTGCCTGCTGAGCGTGTCCTTCAGGCCTTCTACACCCGGGCCAGTGTTCTGTCCACGTGGGGTAGGAGGCTTGAGAGGGAAGCTGAGGTCGCCAAGGAGCATCGCGGCTTGCAGGCCTGCTGGCACTTGCTTCGCGTATTTGGAAGCTCTGTCACGTGGCGTTCAGGGCGGCTGTGTTCTCGCGGCGGGCGCCCCCCTCCCCATCCCTGGCGGTGTTCCTTCCACGCTCTCAAGTCGACTTTTCTCAAGATAACGTAGATGCTCCAGCCGTCTTTTGAGAGACGTTTCAAAGGACGTTTTCTAGCCTCTCCCTTTAACCTTACTGCCCCGTTTCATTTCTTGCAGACAACACCTAACTACCATCCTGGTCACCCAGAAAGCCCTCCTGTCCCTGCGTAGCCCAAAACCTCTGCGCTCCAGGAAGCCGCTGCGTGATTCCAAGCGCTGTCGATCATTTCCATTATGTTCTAGAACTTCATGAAGGTGGAACACGCGCCTTTGTGGATGGCCTTTGTCATGCAGCGTGGCGTTTGGGGTTGTTGACAAAGAGCCAAACTCTGTAAAATATTTTTAGAGATTTATTTTGAGCCAAATATGAGTGGCCATGACCCGTGATGTAGGCTCGGGAGGTCCTGAGAGCAGGTGCCCGAGGCGGTTGGGGCGCAGCTTGGTTTTACTTATTTTAGGGAGGCATGACACACCAATCAAACACATTTAAGAAATACATCGGTTTGGTTCAGAGAGGTGGGACAACCCAGAGCGGGGGCTTCCAGGCTACAGGTGAATTTAGACATTTTCTGGTGCACAGACCTAAACGACAATGGTTGAGTTTATCTGGAGACCTGGGGTCAACAGAAGGGAATGTTCAGGTTAAGGTAAAGGATTGTGGAGACCAAGTTTCAGTGCGCAGAGGAAGCTCTCGGATAGCAGGCTTCAGAGAGAGCAGCTTGTAAGATATTTTTTACTGCACGTAAAAGGGTGCCTGGCTCTTAGCTGATTATCTCCTGGATCTGGGAAGGAGGGAAACGGGGAAGGGGAGTCGCTGTGGGATGTGGATTCTTCCCACAAGAGACTCTGCGGGCAATTTTTAGGTATGTCAGGGAAATATATTTTGGAGTAAAACATTTTGATTTTTTTCCTTGTCTCATAATGTTATGCCAGAGTCAGGCTGGAAAGTCAGTCACAATATACAGGGTCAAATGAAACCCAGCTGGTGAGAGTTTATGGTTTGTGGGGCACGACTCCCTACACCCCTTGGATAGGAATTTGAGCAAGATCCAACACATCAGAGCTTGGTGGTCGGTGTACTGGTCCATGCTGCTGAATGTATGTAATCCTCCCAACTTCATGGGTACGCTGGTGTGTGTTGAGTCATCGGTGGACACATGGGTTGCTTCCAGGTTGGACCTGCTCTGAGTCAGCAGTCACGCACAGGCTTCCTGCGGACACCAGTTTTCATTTCTTTGGGGCAGATACCTAGCAGAACTGCTGGGGCATAGGAGAGTTGTACTTTTCTTCTTCCTGTTTTTGAGACAGAGTTTTGCTCTGTTGCCAGGCTGGAGTGCGATGGCACAATCTCGGCTCACTGCAACCTCCACCTCCTGGGTTCAAGCGATTCCCCTGCCTCAGCCTTGAGAGTAGCTGGGATTACAGGTACGCGCCACCACGCCCGGCTAATTTTTGTATTTTTAGCAGAGACGGGGTTTCTCCACGTTGGCCAGGATGGTCTCGATCTCTTGACCTCAGGTGATCCACCTGCCTCAGCCTCCCACAGTGCTGGGATTACAAGCGTGAGCCACCGCGCCTGGCCTGTACGCTTCTCTTTGTGGGGAAACACCCGTGGTTTTCCGGGGTGGCTGCACCATCCACACATCCCGACGTCCTCACCGACACACAGTGTCTCGCAGTTACAGGGAGTGTGACTTTCCTTGGTGCTTGCCTGATGGCTGTGATGTTCACACCATGTTAGGTGCTTACCAGCCACTCGGACGCCTTCTTTCCGTGAAGCATCGGCTCATGTATTTTGCCCATTGTTGTTTCTGAGTGTCTGCTTTTAGCGAGTTGTAGTTTTGTGTACATTTTGGATGTTGGACTCCCGTCCAAGGGCTCGTAGTCAGTGTGTCCTCTCTGCCTCTGACGTCCTCATTTTCTTAACGGTGTCTTTTGAAGAAAAGCTTTTTGTTTTGACACTATCATTCTTTCCTTTTTTTTTTTTTTTTTTTTGAGACGGAGTCTTGCTCTGTTGCCCAGGCTGGAGTGCACTGGTGTCATCTGGCTCACCGCAACCTCCGCCTCCCGGGTTCAAGTGATTCTCCTGCCTCAGCCTCCCGAGTAGCTGGAATTAGAGGTGTGTGCCACCACGTCCAGCTAATTTTTGTATTTTTAGTAGAGACGGGGTTTCTCCATGTTGGCCAGTCTGGTCTCGAACTCCTGACCTCAGGGGATCCGCCCGCCTCGGCCTTGCACAGTGCTGGGATCTCAGGCGTGAGCCCCCAGGCCCAGGCCCTTCTGCTTTCCAATGGTTATTGCTTCGTGTGTCCTGCTGGAGAAGCTTTTGCCTACTCTGAGGCTGCAAATGTGATCTTCTGTTTTTTTTGCTTTTGGAAAGTGTAGTTCTTCTGGCTTTAGTGTTCAGGTGGATTCTTTGAATGAAAGGTTGTGTTTGGCGTGGGATGAGGGTGCGGGCTCACTGTTTTGGCGCCGTTCCCGTGGAGGTGCCCGGAGACAGTGTCGCGAGTGTGCTGCCCGGCTCTGTGGCCATCACTGGCCCAGGCCTGCCGCGTCACAGCTGGAAGTGGAAAGCTGCGTGTCGTCTTTAAATGCCATTTGGAGAATTCATCCTCCGTCAGTGAAAGGTGCTGCAGTCTCTGCGACAGCGGGATGTCTCTAGGCCATCTCTGTTGCTTTTTGTTTTTTTTGAAAAAAGCTTTTTATTTTGACAGTGTCACTTTTTCCTTTGAGACAGCCTCTCTCTGTCGCCCGGGCTGGAGTGCACCTGCAGCCCTAATCTTTTCTTCAACAGGGTGGAAATACGTTCCTTCCCTTCTGTGGGAGAAAACTGGTATGGTCAGCTGCTCTGGGAGCTCCACGTTCCCTGGTGACTGCTCCTAACTCAAAACAAGCATTTATGTTTTCCAAGAGCTTAGTAT